CTGTTAATGGACATTTGGGTTGTTTCCATATTTTGGCTATTGTGAATAATACTGCTATGAAAACTGTCGTACAAGGATCTGTTTGTGTCCCTTTCAGTTCTTTTAGGTGCATATCTAGAAGTGGAATTGCTGGATCATATTGTAATTCTATGTTTAACTTTTGGAGGAACCACCAAACTGTTTTCCACTGTGGTAGCACCATTTACATTCCCACCAGCAGTGCACAAGGTTTCTTACTTCTCTACACTTCTGCCAACACTTATTTTCTGTTGTTTTGATAATAGCCATCCTAACGGATGTGAAGTGGTATCTCATATTTTCATTTCCTTAATGACTGTTGATATTGAGCATCTTTTCCTGTGCTATGGACTATTTGTAAATCTCTTTGGAGAAATGTGTACTTAAGACTTTTGCCATTTTTTAATTGAATTGTCTTTTGTCATTGAGATGTAGGAGTTCTTTATATAATTTGGATATTAATCCCTTACAGACATTTGTTTTGCAAATATTTTCTTCTACTCTGTGGATTGCTTTTTCACTCTTTTGACATTGTCCTTTGATGTGCAAAAGTTTTTAATTTTGATGTAGTCCAGTTTATTCTTTTTTTGTCTTTTGTTGCTTGTGCTTTTTGTGTCATGTCCAAGAAATCATTACCAAATCCTATGTCATGAAGATTTCCCCCTGTATTTTCTTCTAAAAGTTTTATGGTTTTAGTTCTTGTGTTTAGGTCTTCAATCCATTTTGAGTTAATTTTTATATACGGTATAAGGTAAGGGCCCAATTGCATTCTTTTTCATGTGGATATCCAGTTTTCTGAGCACCATTTGTTGAAAAGACTGTCCTTTCCCCCATTAATGATCTTGGCACCCTTGTCAAAATCAATTGATTGTATATGTGAGAGTATATTTCTGCGTTCTTTATTCTATTCTGTTGGTCTATATCTCTGTCCTTATGCCAGAACCAAACTGTTTTGTTTACTGCAGCTTCACTGTAAGTTTTGAAATCAGGAAATGTGATTTCACACACTTCCAGTTTTGTTCTTCTTTTTCAAGATTGCTTTGTCTATTTAGGGGTCCCTTGAGAGTCCACCTGAATTTTAGGATGAGCTGTTCTATTTCTTCAAAAAATGCCATTGGGATTTTAATAGGGATTGCATTGAATCTCTAGATAGCTTTGGGTAATATTGTCATCTTAACAATATTAAGTGTTCCAATCCATGAACACGGGATGTCTTTCCATTTATTTATGTCTTTTTTAATTTTAGTATTCATTTTTATTTCTCCAGATATTTCCCCTTTCCAGGGCCCTTCATTCCTTCCTGCAGTTCTGTGCTTCTAAAGAATACCATAAATGGTATTACTTTCCTACAACTTGAGGAATTCCCTGTAGTAGTTCTTATAGGGCAGACCTTCTGTGAGAAATCCTTTTAGATTTTATTTGTCTGAAAATATCTTTATTTTACTTTTATTTTCAAAGAATATTATCACCATGCATAGAAATCAAGATTGTCATGTTGTTGAGGGTCTTTTTTTTTTTTCTCCTTAGCACCTTAAAGGTGATATTCCATTCTATTCTGGCTTCCATAATTTCTCTTCAAAAGTCAAGAATAAGTTTTATTCTTTCTACCCTGAAAGCAATGTGTCTTTTATTCTCTGGCTACTTTTAAATTGCCTTTTTGTCTTTGGTTTTTAGCAGTTTAACTGTGATATGCCTATGTGTCATTTTCCTCCTTGATCAAGTTGACAATAGAATAATCTAGCAGAGTCTACCCCTTGTTACCCTGGCATCCATATACTCTTCTTATAACCAGATTTAACTTCCAAATAAAGTTAATGTTAAAATTATGCTTCCACCTAAGATGATATCCCTCACATAGGCGAAAACATATTAACCCTCTTCCCAAAAGTAACTTTATCCATCTTTGGATCATTTTTATTCCTCTTCCTGCTTAGTCATACTCTACCTATGATATCTTGTAATTTAAATATTAGATATAAGGTTAAGCATTTGTATTTATTTCCTATTGCTTCCATATAAATTGCCATAAACTTAACAGCTTTAAACAACAAAAATTTATTATCTTATAGTTCTGGAGACCAAAAGTCTGAAATGGATTTCATAGGGCTAAAATTGAGGTGTTAGCAGGGCTGTGTTCTTTCTGGAGGCTTTAGGGAAAAATTTGTTTTCTTGCCTTTGCCAGGCTCTAGAGGCTGCCCACATTCCTTGGCTCATGGCCTTCTTCCATCTTCAAAGCCAATAATGACCTGTTGAGTCTTTCTCATATCACATCACTCTCATACTGACTCTTCTGCCTCCCTCTTTCACTTATATGGACCCTTTTTCCACTTATACAGACGTGCTCACCCTCTTTTTGGTGTGTTGGTTCACTGGCATGAGGAACCCCAAATGGCCAGGTTAAAGTATCAGTTTCCATTTTAATGGAACTATTGGTGTATATGTTGGTGGAAGCATTCCTTCCATGGGTGCTAAGACCTTTATATCCACAGATTCCAAAGGTATAAGAACAGAAAGTAAAATTTGTGCTAGTGTATCACTAGAGGTAATATTGAGAGGGAACTATTTCCACTCCTTGATTCTCAGACTCATAAATGCTGGCTGTAGGAGAAATAGCATCATATGTTGGTTGTTGATTTAGAGTGTATACTATTACATGGAGGACATCATCCTAGTCTGGAATTCTAACTGTAACTAAGTTTCCAAAATGCCATTCCACCATTCTGTCAGGCCACTTACTTTAGGGTGATGGGGAACAAGGTAATATCAGTGAATTTCGTAAGTATGGGCCCACTGATGTACTACATTTGTCGTGAAGCAAGTTCTCTGATCATAAGCAGTGCTATGTGGAATACTATGACAGTGAATAAAGCATTTCGAAAGTACACAGATGGTGGCTTTGTAGAACCATCGTGCACGGAAGGGTAAACTATCAATTCCAGTGAGAATAAAGTGTTGCCCCTTCCATAATGGAAGTGTTCCAACTAATCAATGTGCCACAAGTAAGCTGGCTGATGCTCCCAAGGGATGATGCCGTATCAGGGACTCAGTGTTGGTCTCTGCTTTGGCAAAGTTGGCACTCAGCAATGGCAGTAGCCAGATCTGGTGAGTAGAAATCCATCTTGCTGAGCCCATGAAAAGCCTCCATTCCCGCTGCCGTGGTCACTTTGTTCATGAGCCCATTGGGCAAGGAAAACAGTGTCTGGGGAAAAAGACTGACTGGCTACAAAGAATGAGTCATTTTGCCCACCTGATTATTAATATTCCTCTCTGCTGAGATTTTTCTTTGGTGAGCATTCACATGAGACACAAATATCTTCACACTTGGTGCCCATTTGGAGAGGTCTGACCTCTTCCCCAGACCTTCTTGTCACCAATTTTCTGACCGTGGTCTTCCTGAATCCCTGACCATCTAGCCAAACCATCAGTCACTTCCCATCTACAGATATGTACCTCTGGCCATCTTTCCTTCCAGGCACAATACCCAACCAGGTATGCTGCTCGAGATTCTGTCTCCTGGAAGGATTTCTCTTAGTCTCTGTCCTTCAGGCCCACCCTTGAGTGAGGCCGTATTGTATATGGAACTTCCTATGGGTCACACTTTGCACTTAATCTCCTGAGGCCTGCTAGGTCTTGAGTTTGACCAATAGAAGGCAGAATAAGTGATGCTGTGTGACTTCCAAGACAAGGCCTTAAGAAGCCCTGCAACTTCTACTTTCTCTCTCTCTTCAGTACTCTGAAATCTCCATGCTCTGAAGAATCTCAAACTAAAAATCTGTATGGAGAGAGAGGCCCAACCATCCCCGAGGTTCCAGCAAACTAAGCTGAAGGCCCAGATATGTATGCGAGGCCCTATTAAATCACCCAGCTCCAGCTGATCTGGCAGCTGGCTACAGCCACTTACGCAAGTCCAAGCAAGACCAGCAGAAGTTCCCTGTCAACCCACAGAAAGTCATTGTTGCTTTAAGCCACTAAGTTTTGGGGTAGTTTGTTATGCATCATTGGATAACTGATACAGTAATCTACATATTTAGAAGATACTATTCAGATTTTAAACCATCATAAATTTTTCTTGATACTAATTTGGGATTTTACTTAGGGGAAATTATATCTTCCTTTCAGAAAGAGTATTATTTGTTTTGGTGTGAACTGCACCATCTTCCACAGGCAATTGCAGTGGGGCTTCAAGTTGTCACACTGGTGCTATGGATTACTTCAATTTGAATTTGTTTGATTTGATTTAACATAAGCAAACTGGGTGTGTGTGAGGGGTAGTTTACCAAGGGTTTTTCGGGGGAATAGAGTATGAGGAGAGGGTTAGGAAAGAAATAGTTTTCCAAGATAGAAGAATTGTTTGGAGTTGTTTAACTAAATTTCTGCTAACATGAAAGATAGAGTTTGTAAATCAGTGGAATTACTACAAGAATGAGGAGGATTCTGTAAGGATAATAATAGATAATATTTATTGAGTGATTCTTGTGCCAGCAGTTGTTCTACTTGCTTTACAAGTATTAACTCATTTATTCCTCACCATAGCTGTATGAGATAGCTACTATCATTCCCATTTTTTAGATGAGAAACTGAGCAGAGAGGGTAAGCAACTTGTCCAGGGTTACACAGCTAGTAAGTACTAACAGTTGAACCCAGATATGCCATACTCAATGTTCTTAACCACTAGGCTGTATTTTGTCTTTCTCCTAGATTACTCTGGAGTATACAGAAGTGACCCAACCAAAGTTCTGGATAGTTTATTTACAGTTGCCAGTGATACAGTTACAAATTCAGGGTAAAACTCTTCGTGAGAATAATACTAGTATTGCCTGGCTTGTCAAAGCAAATCCTGAGTGGGTAGTATTTCTAAAATCTAGTTTACATATATAAAATCTATTTTATGGTTTTTACTCATTTTTCCCTAATTAGGCAAAAAGCTAATTAGAGGTAGAAACTCCAGTTTTGACCATAAAATCTTATGTTTGAACCTTTAGAATGTTGCTGTATTCCAACACTTTAAAAGTCTAATTGATATAAGAAGACAAGGGGAGCCACGTCAGATAGTGAGATATATTAATCCTAAAGAGGTAAGGACATTATTTATTGATACAGCATCTTTCCCTCTGCCTTAAAAATGTGTGGCTACTTTATAAATTCAATGTACTTGTCTTTTTTAAAACTTTTTAATTGAAGTATTACATACATATAGAAAAGTTCATAAAACATAAATGGGTAATTCAGTGAATCATCACAAGCAAACCCCTTGTGTGGTGATTCTGTAACCATCACCAGATCAGTGTTTTCATATTTCGTACCACTGTCTTCCGGTGCTCTGCAAATCACTGCCAACTCCCTTCTTCCAAAAAGTAACCGTTGTTTTGAATACTAACATTGTACTTTAGTTTTCTCTGTTTTTAAACTGTTTATAAATAGAATCCTATGGGACTCTTTTGTATCTGGCTTTGTTCATTCAACATTATGTTTGTGTAGCTAAATTTCACTTATTTTATTAAAAATTATGGCAATATTCTATTTTATGAATATACTGCTATTTATTCATTCTACAGTTGATTGACATTTGGATTTTTTCAGTTTGAGGCTATTATAAAGACTGTCTCCTGGTGCACATGTGAAATTCTTTTGGTTTCTGCTCCACCTAGAAATGAAATTGCTGGGTGAGAGGATATTTTCCAAAGTTACTGTACTAATTTATTTCAGCATCAGCAATCTTTCGGAATTCCCGGTGCCCTACATCCTTACCAACACTTAATGTTGTCAGTTTTTAAATTTGCTTTTTCCTGATTGCTAATGAAGTTGAGCATCTTTTCGAGAAGTGCAGCTCCGGGTTAAAATTCTATGTGCTTTTTCAGGCCTGACCACAGACAGTTACAAAGGCTTTACCTGACCGGCCTCACAAGGGAAAGCTGCCCCCTCCTCGCCCCAGACTTGGTGCACAGCCACTGTGCTACAGCCTCTGAAGGGAATTACAATCAAGGAGTCAGGCCCCTGGCCAGTCCTGCTCTTAGGCATCTTTACATTGCCAGCCCCGGTACTTTCATTCCTAGCTCTCTTTATCTGAGGCCTTGTGCTGGGGTTTTCAGGCACCTGTGCTGACACCTCCTTAGGGAGGAAAGCTTGAAGACCCTTTCCCCACTCTAAACTTGGTCCACTCTGACCCTCCTCCCTCAGTCCCCTCCCCTCCCCCTACATACACACCTTGGGGTCCGTAAAACTGCCTGAGCCTTTTATTCCAGACTCCCTCAGCAGCGAGAGGACACCCATGTCTATGCTGAACCACCTCACCCTCCATCGGTGTGCAGTTTCATGGGGGAAGATGGCACAAGTGGTGGTGTTGCTTCCCCCAGTTTTAGACACTTTAACTCTTGCTTATACCATCGCAGTAAGTGTTTAAAAGCTTTCTTTCCCTTTTTGCTTGTTTGCTTGTTTGGCGACCCTGACAACTGACAGCTCAGCTGTCTCTCTCAGATCAGCTGAGCTCCTGACATTCTTTATTTAATGTCTTTTATGTGTATATTGTCTCTCTTATTCTTATTGGTTTTAAGCAATTCTTTATATATTCTTTATACAAGCCCTCTGTCAGTTGTCTGTGTTACACATATCGTTTTTTACACTATGATTTGACTTGTCCCTCTCTTAATGCTAGAATTCCATTGATTTTTTTTATTATGAAAAATGTCAAACATATACAAAAGTAGAAAGAATAAAGTAATAAAACCACCATGTACCCATCACCTAGCTTCAACAATTAGCAATTCGTGGTCAGTCTTGCTTCATCTACACCTCCACCCACTTTCCCCAACCCCTAGGTTAATATTTTGAGGCAAGGCTGTCTTTTGACCAACAGAGTTCTTACTTTTATTTATTTATTTATTTTTTGTGAGGAAGATCAGCCCTGAGCTAACATCCATGCTAATCCTCTTTTTGCTGAGGAAGACTGGCTCTGAGCTAACATCTGTTGCCAATCCTCCTCCTTTTTTCCCCCAAAGCCCCAGTAGATAGTTGTATGTCATAGTTGTACATCCTTCTAGTTGCTGTACGTGGGACGCGGCCTCAGCATGGCTGGAGAAGCGATGCGTCGGTGCACTCCTGGGATCCGAACCCAGGCCACCAGTAGCGGAGCACGCGCACTTAACCACTAAGCCACGGGGCCGGCCCCCAGAGTTCTTACTTTTAATGTAGTCCAAGTTATCAATCTATTTCTGCTTGGTTGGTGCTTTTTTATAAACTTTCCCAACCCTGAGGTCATGAAAATATTCTCTTATAAACTTTATTGATTTGCCTTTCATGCTTAGATCTACGATCTACCTAGGATTGATTTTTTTGTGTATGGTGTGAGCTAGAGGTCACTTTCCTATTCTTCCATATAGATATCCAAATGATTAAACACTATTAAAAAGATAGTCCTTTCTCCACTGCTCTGCAGTGCCACTTTTATATAAATCAAGTGACCATTTATGTGTAGGTCTATTTCTGAATTCCCTGTTCTGTTCCACTGGTCTGTTTTTGTACCCTTGTCTTATTACTATAGCTGTTTTTATAACAAGTCTGTTATATGGTAGAGAAGAACTCCTGTCTTATAATTCTTCTTCAAGAAGACACTTCCAGGCTGTTCTTGGATGCTTTGTATTTCCATGTAAATTTTAGAATTAACTTATCAATTTACACACACACAAAAAATCCTACACCATCATGGAAAATAGTAGAGCAGTGAGCTCTAAGAATAACTGTCAGAATCAACTTTATTGGAATTCTGGAATCTACGTTAAAAAAAACTTAGGGCAACCAGGAGAGTGCTTAATGAAGAAAGAGGCTGCTAAATTTCAGTAAGGAAGCATTCCGGGGTTTTTGCTTACCCACCTAACATGCCCCATTCCCCAGCTTGATGGCAGCTGTGAGGACAAAGGTTCACATTCCTGGTGTGGCTTTCTGGGGCCAGGGAATCAAATACAGACCTTGTTCTCAAAAATTGTGGTTGTGTATTTTGACATATCTGGCAGTTAGTTCCTTGAGGGACCTGCACAGAGGCTTGCCTTTGTTTCAGCCTCCTTCTCCATGCAGTCCTGGGGCTGGGCCGGGTCCCAGCATTTAAAGTCGTATACTACTCACAGCCACCTGAGGCAAGAGATGGAAGACAGGGTAAGAACAGGCAGACCCAAAAGCCTGGGAAGACGAAGATATATGGAGATGTGTGAACAAATGAAGAATATATATTGAAAAAAAAAGATAGAAAGCAGATTAATGATTGCCAGGGGCTAGTGGTAGAGCAGGGGGAGGGGGAGTAGGGAGTGACTGCTTAATGGGTATGGGATTTCCTTTTAGAGTGATAAAAATGTCCTGGAAATAGACAGTGGCTATACAATATTGTGAATGTACTAAATGCCACTAATGGTAAATTTATGTTGTGTGTATTTTACTACAATTAAAAAAAATCGATTGGGATTTTGATTAGGATTGCATTGAATATTTACATCAATTTGAGGAAAACTGACTTCTTAACAATATTGACAGTTCCAATCCATGAACATTTGTGGGAAACATGGAGATGTGCTGCCCAGATTCCTCTTCACAAGAGGACTTAGTACCCAGTCACAGGGAGTACAATCAGCAGACAACCTCCAGCTGTGAGCATCTTCAGTTTCTACTTTACCGGGGGAGAACTGCCTCACTCTAGGTCAGCTGTTTCCGGGGCAGTCCACATCCAGGGATGAAGCAGTTAGTGTGGGGGTAGGGATGAGGAAGGGGATACAAAGACCAGTCTGAGGTGGAACAACTCTGTTGAGCAATATTCACTCTAGAGCTCCCTGCAAGATTGGCTCAGGCTTTGTGGGGCTTGCATCATAGTTCAAACTCTTCCTTTCCCTTCCTTTCAGAGGTGTTGATCCCTAATCTTCTTGTTTTTCTTTTTTTTTTTTTTTTTTGCTGAGGAAGATTCGCCCCTGAGCTAACATCTGCTGCCAATCTTTCTCTTTGTGTATGTGAGCCGCCTCCACAGCATGGCCACAGACAGACCAGTGGTGTAGGTCTGTGCCGGGGGAACCAGGCTGGGCTGCTGAAGCAGAGTGCGTTGAACTTAACCACTAGGCCACCGGAGCTGGCCACACGTCGTCTTTAGAAACCCCAATCTGCAACATTATTTAGCTCTTCTATAATTTCTCTCAACAATGCTTTATAGTTTTCTGTATAGAGAATTTGCACATATTTTGTTAGATTTATACCTGCTTTTTCAGGTGTAAATGAAGATTTATACCTGCTTCTATAAATGGTAATTAGAAAATTTTTATTTTCCAATTTTTGTTGCTAGTATAGAGGAAGATAATCAATTTTTGTTTATTAGCTTTGTTCCCAGAAATTTTGCTATCCTTATTTATTAATTCTAATAATTTGTACATAAGATTCTTCTGGATTTTCTGCAGAAACAAGCATGCCATCCTCAAATAATGAGTTTTACTTTTTTCTTTCCAAACATTATACATTTTACTTCTTTTTCTTGCCTTTCTGCACTAACTAGAACCTTCAGTAAATTGGTGAAAAGAAGTGGTAACTACTGTCTCATTCTTTTGTGTTTTTTTTTGTGAGGAAGATCAGCCCTGAGCTAACATCCATGCTAATCCTCCTCTTTTTGCTGAGGAAGACCAGCTCTGAGCTAACATCTATTGCCAATCCTCCTCCCTTTTTTTTTTTCCCCCAAAGCCCCAGTAGATAGTTGTATGTCATAGTTGCACATCCTTCTAGTTGCTGTACGTGGGACGTGGGACGCGGCCTCAGCATGGCCGGAGAAGCGGGACGCGGCCTCAGCATGGCCGGAGAAGCGGTGCGTCGGTGCGTGCCCGGGATCCGAACCCGGGCCGCCAGCAGCGGAGCGCGCGCACTTAACCGCTAAGCCACGGGGCTGGCCTTACTGTCTCATTCTTGATTTCAAAGGCAAAGGGCCGGGCTGGCCCCGTGGCTTGGCGGTTGGGTGCACACGTTCCGCTGCTGGCGGCCCGGGTTCGGATCCCGGGTGCGCACCGACTCACTGCTTCTCAGGCCATGCTGAGGCGGCGTCCCACGTACAGCAACTAGAGGG